ACATAATTCAATATTCAACAAAAAACATTCTTAGGGCAGCAAATGTTCATCCCACAGTGGGGGTGATACAGTCTCTTGATTCCACAGTCTCGGTATTAGTTAATGACACATCAGGATCATCATCCGAATCATCATTCATGACATCATCTACAAAACAATGATCAACTACAAATATTAATAAATGTAACTAATAAAATATATATATGAAATATTATGTTAACATGTTACCTGTAAACTCATATCCATGTAGCCAAGTCTGAGCGCATATCCGTATAGACATTCTTCATAGATAAACACCTATATATCAAATTGACCTAGCCTTTAAGCTTTCATAACAACTAATCATACAAAAATTAAACAACTGTATGCCATAGTAATAACAAAATGTTTACCATTATATTATTGTTCACATAGAAATAAAAATAAAAGAATTAAGCTATACTCAAACTATAACAAACTAAGACCTGGCTGAAATTTATTGATTAAGTGTTTTACCTAAGTGCATATTACTAACACGTGATTACAAAGATGACGAACATTATAAAAGTGGAAATGTTAAAATCAATTAAGCTTAAATTTTAACATACTTAATTATCAGCACCAAACAATGAGTCATAAACCATTGAAAACATATCATCATCAAAGATCAATCAAGTTGGGTGCAAGGTTAGAGAAGTTTCTAACTCCATATTCGACAAGAACTTTGAAGGTTGAAAAAAATAAAACTCAAGCTGAGCTCATTAAGAAATTGGAGAAGTATGATAAAATAAAATAAAAAGAAAGATAGTGAGACTACTGCAGAATTTCTACTTACTGCCCCACTTAAACTGCCAACCCCATTATGAAACCACCAGAACTTAAAACTTGCTCCATGTAAAAGAAATACATCAGAACATATACCACCAATTAGCACTAACCAGTATTTCTTGAACAATGTAGTAAACCTTGACAAACACATACATACCTGACTCAACAACAGGGCATAACACTCACAAAACATTAGTCAACTATTGAATAAAACATTACAAATTAAGAGACAATAAAAATATCTACGAAGAAAATTAGAAATTGCAAAAATAACCCCTAAGATTACTTAGAGAAACAAGTGAAGAATAGATAAGGAGAAACAAGAGAAGCTATATACAAAAATCAGAAGGCATACAAACTACTCAGTAACAACTTTTCTCTTTTCCCCAATTCTTGCAAAACAAGCTGACACCAGTTACAAAAAAAATCTTGGAAGGAAAAATATTTATATCTCCGAAATATAAATCGATTCAAAATAAACTAATCCTGACCAGTAAATTTAATCATGTGCTCAATTGTTTAGTACTTTACATTGTACTTGGTCTGAAACCAAGCCATCAATATTTATGAAGGCACTTTAGGTTTGACCCATAACTGCCTTCCACTCACAAGGAAAAGAAACAAGGACGAGGCATGCACTTGATAAGAGTAAAACCTTTTTCCAAACACTACTAAGGACTAGTCCTTGAATTGGTAAAATTAAGTTTTCAATGTCAATATATTAACATGTGGATTGACCAAGTGACTCACTTCTCTTGTTTGAATCAAGTCTAGGTCACTGTTTCCAATTCACTTAAAACAACCAATAGAATGAATTCACATACCACTGGAGAGTAAGCAGCAAACAAGGCATATTCCCAAGTGTGGCCTCCAAGAAAATGAGCAAAGAAAGCGTAAAATGCAACCACTAACAAGCAGAATACAGTAATTGCAACAACCTATCAAAGGTAAGGGCCAAAGATGCATCAGAAACTAAAAGATATCAAAGGAAAACGAAATCAATTAACACAAATTGCACAACCATAATCTACAAGTTGAAAATAATTAAATGCAAGAAAAATCCCTCAAAAAGTCTTTGCACCAATTTAAGAAACCCAACCCACAAATTTAAGAAACCTAACTCAAAGATCAGCGACTGCAATGGTGGTGTGAGAGAAGAGATGTTGACGGTGACAACGACGATGTGCGATAGTGAGAGAGGACAGCTGCGAGTCTTGCGATGGAGAGAGAGAGGAGATGACGAGCCGATGACGTGAGAGACAGGAGATGATGAGCTGACGATGTGGTTTGTGAGAGAGAGGAGTTTAGAGATGGCGACGCCGCGACGGTGGGACTAGGATGATGGTCGACGGATGACAGTTGAGAGAATGACTGAATGAATGAGTTTGAGAGATTGAGAGTCAAGATAAATGTTTAGAGTTAGGAATTTCATTTCAAATCCCCTATTTTCTTTTAACAAAAGACGGGTACCCGCGAGTTTACCTGTATAACCCGTTAATAATACGGGTCGGGTACGGGTTAAAAAAAACGGGTCTGGCTGGAAAATTACGTTACAACACAGACTGATCGGATTTGTGTCGTAACGTGGCCGTCAACGGCCACAAAAGCCCATCGTTGGCTGTCAGCGACAGCCAAAGATATGGCCGTCATTGTCTGTCAACGATGGCCTTTTCTTTGGCGGTCGCTGACGGCCAGATCTGGCCTTTTCTGGCCAAATCCACAGTGGATCTGGCCGGAAAAGGCCAAATCAGTGAATTATCGGTCAGTTCGGTCGAGATGTAAGCCTTTGTGATAGATTCCGGCTACCACCGATGGTGGTTGCCAGAATCTGGCGAGAATGGGTGGATAGGAGTGTTTTTGCTAATTTTTAAACTTTTTTCTGGGGTTGTTATGAAATTAATAAATTTAAGGGATCTAAAAGTAATTAAAAAATATAATAATATTTATGGAATAATGTGTCAAACAATATTTGGGGAATATGATTGGAAATATGAATAGAAACATGGAACCAAACGCACCCCTATTTTTTGTTTTCAATTATGTTTTGAGTAATATAATATGACAATCTTCTATAATTAAATATGTTCACTTGATAAAGTTATAAAGACTATTGTTTTATTTTAGTAAATTGAAAACTCAAAGAGGATCAATAAATGTTTGAAGTAACGATTTTACTTTGTTTAAAAAGTTTAGTGAAAACAATGAATAAATTATTAATTTACTAGAGAGATGATTAAATGAAAAAAACATAATAATAACATTCTTACATATAATAAGTGAAAAGCCGTGTGAAACGTATTTGATGTTAGCCATCCAATTACTCGGCTTTATTCTTCAAGCCATCTGCAAAATCACACTATTATGTTGCTTTGCTTCCAAAACCGTGCTCCAACTCCAATTCACTACAACAAAATTCTGGCAGAACAACTTTGAATTATGAAAGCATAGGAAAAATGACAAGTAAAATTCAAAAAAATAAAAATAAAAAAAACATATTAAAGAACCAAAGGATGGAGCTAAATCCAGTAAATCGTCAAAACCATGAAACTGTCCACTCTTCTCATTGACTACAAGATGAAAAACAAAAATATAACCTATACTCTGAATTGCAAATAACCATAGAATAAACAATAATAAATCAGTAGTCCCAGAAACTTTTTCATGATAAAAGGGAGAAAATCCTAAAATCCATAAAACCAAACATCAGCTCGATTATCAATCAGAAAAGCTAGACAACCAAATACAGATCAAAATGGTATAACTCCTTAAAGATTTGTGTCTTCAATGTGTCAAAATCTGTCCTTATTTGTATCTTCATCATTAACAAAATTAAACAAATTTTAAAGTTTCTATTAACTCAATATCAAACAAAAATAAATATTCAAACACTTAACTAACATGAACAAGAAAGTAGCCTGTAAAAATTGGAGAGATAAACAAAAGTACAAAATAAAGACCGTAAAAAATTTCACCAACAATTAAAAATATCAATTCATCTTCAACATACAAGATATACAATATTCTTTAAGATAAACAAAATTTTTTCAACTATAAAAAATTGATAACAAATTTCCATCAATAGAAAAGATCAAATACGCTCCAAACTGCAGAATTACATAATCATTCTCACGATAAAAACGAAACAATTATTAAAAAAGTTTTATAATACCTTGGCGAAGAGGTTGATTGTACGAAAATCTGAAATCAACTGACATAAGAATACGTTACCGTTGTGGATCGAAGACTACATGTGCTTTTACAGGGCTTTGACGATTTCCGCCGTGTTTGAAAACTTAAACTGACATAAGTAGATAACAATCTAAAATTCCATTTTTTTCAAATTTCAAAAATATGAATCTATACGCACCGTTGTAATGAGCATTGGGGCCATTACAAGCCGACCCAGTTGCTTTGTGGCTGGCTGGGTTTGCGTGATTTAAAAAGAAGCCCAGTTGCATCCAAATACTTCGAATTATTTGACTTTAAAAAGATTAATAACAAAAAATAAGTTTATATAAATTGAAAACCCAATTCATCTTTATTATTATATTTAACTATTAGTTAAAATAAGTCAAAATATTGTTACAAGAAAAAATTATATGTTATAAATTAGCCATTTAAACATTAGACATTGACATGTAGACAAATCAAACCCCCTGAAAACATAAAATAATAAATATCTTTAATTTTATATTATTAAAATTAAGATTTTCCTTCATACTAAACAAATCTCTGGAAACATAACTTATTGTTAAAAAAAAATTTAAAATTATCTTGAGATGGTTAATCTCATTTGCTCTTACAAAGATAGTTAAATCTAAACCATCCAAATACTTTAAGATAGTATTAAATATAAAAAATGTTAGCCTTATTCCCTTCTCTTACTTATTTCTTTTATTCACTTTTGTTAAAATGACATATGATTCTCGTATTATGTTTATGATACCCATACTATGTTTTATATTTACAAAGATGAGTAAGAGAAGTGCGTAAAACTAGCATTAAATATCTGTCGTTTAAGCGGGTGTTTATATATATATATATATATATATATATATATATATAATTTGTTAACATTCGGTGGTTGTTAACACTCGGTTGGATAATTCCCACAACTAACTTAGGGATCACTTTGTCAATTTTAAAAACCACAGGGGCTAATTTAAGTCTGTATATTAACAGTTAGTCATATAGCGGGTAGTAGCCATTTGTATCCAGAAACAGCCAGAAAATTTTCCCTCTCTTCCGCCCAAAATCACTCTTTCTCGCTCTTCCAGTGAAGCGCGGAAGCTCTCTACAACTCTGATTCACTCTAAATCCAGCTTCAAGGCTCAAGGTGATTATAAGTTTTAACTGTTGTCAATAATATTTTCAATTAGGGTTTTAATTCTTTCATTTCTACCTTCCTGTTTAAGCCCTAATTCCAATTGAATCAATCTGTTGTTTGATTATTATATTCAATAATTCGATTACTGTGTTAGTTTGATTGGTTTTTTTCTATTGGAGTGTCGTAGCTGTTCTTTTGAATTTCGGAACTCGTTTTAGATTTGGATTTTATACTAAATATGTTTTAGATTCTGAAAAATGATGTAAGTTGAACTCAGGGGATTGCATATTAATTTTAGAATTTCAAAGTTGCATATTACAAATAATTTATTATGTTTAGATTGGAGTTCTGGGGACAATTTTTTTTTTTTTCCAGTTGATGATGCCTTGTTAGAGATTCCTGAAAATTGTGAAATTCCATACATGACTTATAACATGAAATGTCAACTTGTCAAGCTTGTGGGACTATAGATCATCAAACTTATAGGTGTAACGAGTTCTTGTTGTTTTACTTAAGTGTCATGTTACCCTGCAGCTATTGCAATCTTATTCAATTTTAGGATTTTGATATGTTACTGGGGCAGGGGCTACCTCTTAACCTCGGATTCTCTCTTTTTCTTCTTTTTTCCTTCAAAGAAAATCGGAGGCAAGTTCAAGGGCTCTGCAGGGGATTGCTAGAAACAGGGACTTACGGAGAGCCTCGATTTTTTTTTTTTTTTTTTTTTCTTTTAGAAAAAAATCACAGTGCTTGGATTGGGGAACAAAGGGTTTTGCTGGGTTAGTAACGTTATGGGGCTGGTATTGTAGTATTCTCTATTTTATATATTTCCTCTTGTGCATGAGTAAATATCTGTGTGTTATATACACTAAATGTTGAGCCTTTGTCTTGAGGGTAAGGCTATATGCAGCCAGAATAACATTCTCCACGCAATGTTCCTAAGTATACCTTACTATTAATTTTTTAAGTTAGAGATTTATTTTATTCATCTTCCTAATCCAAAAATACTCCCATTTGGAATGTAATTAAAATAGACTAATAATTAATTGAATGAAAAATTATGATCAAAATTAAAAAAAAAAAAAAAAAAAAAATTCTATTTGAGATATGTAGATATTAAAAGAATTAATTCTTATGATTGATTTTTTATCAAATTTTGACAAAAAAGAAAAAAAAAGTTGGTTTAAATTTTATTTTAGTTATACTTTCCATTACGCTAAGCGTTAATTACTGATTTGAGTTGTTAAATGAGTTCATTTTTGAAATTATGAAAATCAATTGGATAGAATTTAATTATGTGTTTACTAATGACTATGGAGAGAAATTTTATGAGTGTAAATAGCATCATCCTTTCTTAGCTGTAGTAACTGTAAAAATTCCGGAAAAAAATTTCTAATCCAAGTCCTTAACACTGACTCATCCTAAATTTCTGCTTTTTTGATCATTAGTCCAGTAGGTGATTTCCAAATGGACGAGCTGCCACTACCTGCACTCTTTGAACAAGCTCGGAAGATTCATCAGACAGCAACAGAATCTGGTTGTGACCAGGTATGTTGGTGCATACATTTGGCAGGTTTAATTCTGGGTTGAATGTGATTGAATTTGGGCTTTGACTGATACAGGATGTTGTGAGGAAAGGATGCCAAGTGTTGGAGAAGTGTGAGGACATGATAAGCAAGCTTGGGTTGTTCTCAGCAAATGAGACCAAAGAGGATATCAGCACTACCAATCTCAAGTATATTCTGGTATATTTTTATTTTGAGATGTTTATTTGATTGTCAACGGTATATATTTTAAATGTAATGCTATGTTTTGCCACCAAGAGAAGTCAAGAATGATAAGAGCTATATTATTTTAGTTTACGAATTGTTACCTAGGAGAAAAAAGTCCTGATGTTCAAATGGTTAAATACCTGTAGATACTTGAGAAAAGAAATTAGGTCACTAAAACATAATAATGAGATGAGCAAACTATGATTTTGATGAGATGAAATTTAGGTCTTGATTTCATTAGTAGTGACTGTTTCTGATGATCATGTCTTACAGGTGCCATATTATCTGGGTGAGATGATTGAAAAAATTGCACAGGATGACAGGATTCAGATTCTGAAGGCTTCCCAGGCAAAATTGAAGGTAAATAATTATTCTTATTTATGATGTAGTTTGAAGCTTATTTATCAACAAGCTGTCAAGAATTTGAGCATGATTATTCTTTTTGGGTAGCTCTTTTCAAAACTTAGGTTTATTGTCTTTTATGTATATGAATTTATTGGAAGCTCACATCTTGTAGGAGTTCCTTTCATTTTGTGAGGCCATGGAACTTATACCGAAGGATGAGCTGGAAACCTCTGCACAAGCTGGTCCAAATGCTTTTGTAGATCAAAGAGCCCGAAAGGTAGCTTCCACTTATTTGGACATTTGGAAAGCATGAATTTCAATTTTATTACTCACTTTTCATGAAGATGTTATCCGAGTAAATTCTGTTGTTAGCCCAATTGTGTTTGTGCAAATTGCAAATTCAGGATAATGTGCTGTAGACAGTAGGGTAGTTGCTTACTTTGTTTATCTTCTTCTCAGATTGCTCGGTTCAAACGCCAAAGAGCTGCAGAATCAAAACTTTTGGAAATAATGGAGCGCAAGGAGCGGCGTGGCCGTTCAACTAGAGCAGCTGCCTTGTCCACTCCTGTTGAAGCTGGAGAGGAAGAATTGTTGGATGATGATGGAGAGGAAGAAAGGGAGGTTAGTTGCCATCAATTTTGAGAGCTCGGAAGATTGCTTCTTGTTCCTTCCGTATTTTAGTTTAGTTGTGTTCCTTTGCCTTGTGATTTCATTGATTCTCTAATCACAGTTTCTTTCTTAAATTTTATCAGGCTTGGCTTACCACTATCTCGTTAGCTATTTGTAAGGTTGGTATTTTATTTCAATATGATTTACATTTACAAGCTCTTAAATCACAGTAATGGTATACTCATATTTTTGTACTGCTTTTTGCCATTTCCATGTCATGACATTCCAGGCTTGTGATCTGCTAGAGATGCTAAAGAAGGAGGAAGAAATGCTTTCTGCTGTAAAAGAAAGACAGCTAAAGGTATTATTAATATATATTAAATTCAAGGTAGATTGAATGGTTCTTTATTCTTTGTGATGCTTCCTGAGATTTGCATCTTTCTGGTCTGCGGGTTTCCATTAATTTAACTTGCTAAGAACAACTGCAACGCAGATACTAGGATCACAAAAAGATCTTAAATATCTTTTTGGCTGAAAATTTTCTGGTGTTTACTGCTGGAAGAGGACATGCTGAATATACAGTGTCAATATTCACCACTCTAGATTGAATAACAAATGTTCACCACTCTAGATTCAATTTAATAGAATATATATATCCAGAACTTCTTTCATGTTTTTGAATAGTGAGATTTAAGTTTTACCAAACATCATGGGCTAAAATTAACTTGACTGGAAATATCAGTTGTTAAAGTTTCCAATGCATATTTGTTTTGACTTATTGTCTGATATGTTCCATCTTTGTCTTACAAGCCATGTGTCTGTAAAAGTTAATGGTTTATTCCTTTTGCTAATCAGTGTTACCAACATTTAGTCCTTGGTTTCTGGTCTTCTGATGTGTGAGGTATAGTAATTTGTTGAAAGGGAATAATTAGTTTGTGCTGCACTTGCACTATTGACTTCTTCTGTTTGATGAGCTATTTTATGTGCGTAAGTCAGTGCTCTAAGTTACCATTCCATTCTGTGATGGGGGAATTTGATCAAAGTCGGCTGAGAATATAATTGAAGCTTCATATTGTTAATGAACAATATTATTGTTTCAGTCATTCCTACTGCTTGCTAGTCAGTGTCCTTTGCTAGTCAGTTATTGTGCATACAGATCAAGGGTTAATGACTTTGTTCCTTCAGGAAGGGGAGAAGGAATTTTCTCAGGCCGTTCTTGATGAGCGCACAAAGAAAGCAGAAGCTTGGCATCGTGATGCTGCAGTACGAGCACTATATACAAAACCAGCGCAGCCGATTACATGTGCTACTTTTGCTCAAGATGTTCTAGAAGGGAGAGCACAGGTTTCACAGGCTCATGAACACAAACATCAACCAATGATATTTGGACCCGCAAGTCTTGTGGGTGGAGGCCGAACTGGTGAGAGGGAAAGGATGGCAGCTCAGGTTTTCCAACCTCATCATAGGTATTTTTGCATCTTTTGATACAGCTAACGTCTAATTTTTTTTTTTGTTTTTCAATTCATTTTTCTTTAAGGTCTGTCTGAAGTTATATGCCTTGTTTTTCCTTACTCAACATGTGTGAATTACCAAGATCTCTTTCCGCTTGTCAAACATTACAGCATGATATTCTATTTTGTTATTAATCTGAAAAAAGCAAGCCAATTTGACGGTGTTGGGGGATTTTGACCACGTGTAAAGTATGCTAAGTAAAAAAATTTGTGTTCAAAGGATGCCAACGATGAGTATAGAGGAAGCTGGGCTAAAGGAGATGGAGATAATGAATAAATGGCAGGAGAGGAATATAAAACTAATGGAGGAAGCGAATTCTGCATGGCACAAGGACAATAAGAAAATGGGACCCAGTGAAGAGGATGATGAAGATGAAGATGATGATGCTGCCGTAGAGAAGGCCAGAAGATGGGACGACTGGAAAGATGATAATCCTCGAGGTGCAGGCAATAAGAAGCTCACACCCTGTGGGTAAAGCTCGCAAATTGGATTTCTTTCAAGATTTGTTATGTTATGATTACTGCTTTCAGGAACAATTTTTTCATAATTTATTATTTATAGATATTGGTATTACAATTTTTGTTGGTTTGGCAAGAACAATCGTTATCATGTATTATATGAATATTTGGGATTAGAATAACTGGTTTCTATATAGGGCTTTACCAGGTTTTGTTATGTAAAGTCGCAAAAATTTGTTCTAATCAAGTCTTTTTATTGAACAAAGTGAAGGTGTTACTTCCCTTTAAACGGAATTAACTGTAAGAATGACACTTTTTCATTGACTCACGTGGTTTAGTACAAGATTCCCATCGGAATCTGTGGGTCTGAAGAAACTCAAAAGTTCCAAGTTTAATTTTAATATTTTGGAACTTTCAATGTATAAGTTGTCTATAGAGGAACATGTGAAAAAGAACACAAATCAGTACTAGTTGGTACTTTTCAACTTCTGTATCAAGGTTTCTATGTAGAGATCTGTGAGATCGACGCCATGTCTCCATTGCTCATCACAAAGAAGAGAGATTGACATAATAATATGTGGTTTGGAGCTTCGGCAAAATGATTTGCTTAAACAAATTGCCCACTGCATTACATTAGATTTTCCCAGAGGGAAGCATATAATCATCTTAGTAATGTAATAAAAATTAATCTGCTGTGATTAATCCAGTTTCAAACCAAAAGTTCAAGACATTAAATCTGATGTTATATAGTAACATGATTTCATGAAAATTCTAATATCACATGCTTGCAACTCTAGAAATCACCAATACTGATCAGAGATGAAGCATAAAATTCAGGTAAATTAAGAATAAACAATCCAATGTAAGATAGATCAGGACAATGTTTCGCCATTTCTGGAAAGAGATTGAGTTGGTTCCCAGAACAAAGAAAACATTTCATCCCATCCATTATCATTACAAAAGGGCAGGCTCCCTCTTCCTCACAGCTATTAGTTTTGCAGAACATCAACCCTTTTGTCGTAATAAAAGACTTCACTAACCTCAATAGGAAGAAACAATGAAAATTCTCATTAACTAAATGTTACATAATCAAGTCTTTTATAGACCAACAATCAAAAACCCAACAACTTTGTAGGCAAAGATACATCAATGTATCATTGATAACCTTCATTACAATCTTCATTTGGATTAGTGCATTGTCAATCTGTCCAAAGCTCAACAAGCAACTTCTCTCGCACAATATTCACTTGCTACTTTTGTTCAAATACAAAGTTTTTTGAGCAATTTCATACAAAGTTTTTTGAGCAATTTCATTCACAAAATCTGACAATATGAAACAATAAATCCCCACATGCAAAACATAAACATAGTAGGGTAATCATAAAATTTAAGACCTACAATTCTGCCAATGGACAGCTGAAAGAAGTTGAAACTTTCAGACCATCAAGTGTTCCTGTATCAACAAATTTTGTTCCAGTTGGTCTAACAGATTTTGATTTATCTTTAATAGCAGATCTTCATGATGTTGTCTGACAATGAAAGTTGTACGTTTCTTCCTCCTACCCGCTTAGTAAACAATCACCAACAATCAAAATAGAGTTCCACTATTTAACCATATCAAACTTCTTGTTCTACACTTTACCGACTACTGAAGAAATATAAGTTGAAAGAGGGAACGCATAGAGAAGAAGGAATTTGTGAAAGATTTTTATATCCAATCCCAACCAAGCAAAGATTTTGATAGCAATATTTAATCAATCAACTCTTCTAAAATGAAATGAAATCTTCGAACAACAATGAAAAAACTAAACTATGATCTTTATGATAGACTTGTTTGTCATTCCCCATACATAAACCACAAATACAAGAGCCGAACAGGAAATATACGTAAAAGAAAAAATTATTGTTGAATGATGCCACAGAGATAAACTTGTAAGCAAAACCATTAAAACTAAACAAAACCAAACAAGAGACAACAGTGAAAGCCAATGCCTGCACAAGTTTTATCTATAGTGAATAGGTATACACAGTTGAACTCATTACAAGTAAATGCGCAAGTCAAGAAATGTAAAATAGAAGCTCTATGACTTGTCTTAAAAGTAAAACAAACAAAGCATTGATGAAAGAAACGACGAAAATTACCAGTGGAAGCCGAAAACACGCCCTGAGAACTCATTGAAACCATTTACTCTTATCCACCCCATATATATAAGTATATTCTTCTCACGAGCATACATCTTCTTTGTTATACATGTAGAATTCTCAATCAACTTGAAAGTAAAATCACTCATATACAACGAAAACAGACCCCAAAGAAACAAAAACTCAACCATCAATACATTGAAACCCCTGGCAGACCAACAACCAAATCCCAAATAGAACAGCACATATAATCAAGTCCAGCGCCAAGACAACCCAAACATGTTTTTTCCATATTTGTTTCACCTTCTGTCGATCAACTGCGTACAATGCATTCTTATCATCACACACATCAACCTTCTTCTCCCCATTAACATCTTTAGCATCCCCATCTGCGGCCCCTTTCTCAGTACTTGCTCTTTTCTTCTTCTTCAACCCTTTTGGCTTCCCGAGCAAAGGAGCCACCACCATCCTCCCTCTTGCCGAATCCACACTTGAATTTCGACGATCTTTCGACCCACTTCTCGAAGAATTCAAAAACTCTAAATCCAAGCCCATTATCTCACAAAAAACCGCATCAAATTGAGATTGCAAAGAACGACTAGCCATATTATCAAAATCCAACACCGACCCTCTAGCAAAAATCTCCTCAAAAGACGATTTAATACGATTCAAGAAGCCAAGCAACTCTGATTTCTGAATATTCTTATCAAATATCCCAAAATACGTAAAAGGGTCATTGATTAAAAACGTATAAGTTCGATTAGACACCGTATGAGAGAACATTGAATGGTATGGTGGGGTCTTGTCAACACATTGTTGAGCTAAAACTTCACTTATTCCCTGTTCTCTTGACAAGAACTCCCCAAGAATTATTGACCCGTTTGCAATGCATGCATAAAACACAAGATTTGGATTTGAAATCATGGTTTTAAGTACCAGAATTTATCAAAAGATATTCCAAAATACGACTAAATAACACAACATTAGCATTGCAAGTTGTTGCAAGTTTGATTGGCTGTTGACAATCACTTTTGATTCAAGAAAAAAACGTACCTTTTCCCTCAAATGTTCTTTCTTTTTTATGTTTGAATGAACAAAAAAATTCACTTTCTTTGTTCGTTTGCGATTTAGGGTTTGATAGATTTGTTGATGAAGAGAAGAAGGGACGAGTTCGATCCGTTGGAAGAAGAACATAAAAAGTGAAAAAAAATAAAAAATAACGACTCTTCCGGTTCGAAAGGGACCCTTTGTGGGAAAACGAAGTTACGAAAATACACTTGCGTGTTAAATCTATGTATTGACGTGGAGACTTCTTATTTGTTTGATTCTTGAAGTTGATGTTGACAGGTGGAGGTTTATTATCAGCATAGCCTGTCTTCGATGTTATATGTTTGTCCAACTAAAAAGGGGTTTAGAATACAACTGGTGTAGGATATATCCAATTGGAGAATGTCAAATCAATTATCTTATAATTTCGTCCTGAAGTTTAGAAGTATATATTGTTCTTATAATTTCGTCCTGAAGTTTAGAAGTATATATTGTTAGTCTTATGATTTTATAATAAAAAGTCTATAATATCCTTATTGTCTCATATAGTCATACGTTGTTTAGTCAGGCTTTAGTTTTGATATTTTGTGTATGAGCAAACGACATAATCCCACCCGAAATTTGGGAAAATCCTAAATTGGTATCCTTGGTTCAGTTTATCCCGTTTTGCCACTCTTAATCTAATATCGTTCGCTTGGTTTTAACAGTAAAAGGGTAAAAATGACACTTAAGAAAAATTAAATTCAAATAATAAAGAGGCCTGGGGAAATGTTGCAAAACATGTGGAGACGGATAACGTATGATAGTTGGAGTTATTGCAGAAGTCAAGCGCCAAAAAAAAAATCTCTAAACACTCTTACACTTTCTCTTTCAAACAAAAAATGCAGATTTTTTTTTCTAAAAAATTAACCCACAAACCTCATCGCCTGTGCAACAAAAATCGCAGCCATTAATCCCTCTAACCTTCTTCCCGTCCCACAGTTGAACTTGTAAGCTTACCAGACATAGATATAGTCTCTCACTGCTACTTTGACTCCCAAACAAGATGAACAAAATCAATATTCCAATGAATATCCTTATCTCATCATCATCCTTCTAGCCAATGCCCTCCCTTTCAGGCCTCACCGAATCCTTGCAGCTTGGTTTTTTTGCTTTGACCCCAAACAAGATGAACAAAATCAATCGTACACTTATCATCTTCTTCAGTGGCATTTGGCGAAACCGTAAACCATAAACCGGCATCAACAATAACCATAAACCGACGAATACGAAACGACAACCAGACCCTAACCCATACCCATACATATTAACCCGAAACCACCATACCGGTCGTGCAGACACAACCTTGAGAGGAATACGAGCCATCAACGAGAAGAGAAGTCTCACCGCCTAGAGGAAGAAAGACGACGGTTCGAGGAGAAGGACGATATGGCTACGTGGTCTGCAGCAAGGTATATCGACAGTTGATTTACATATTTTTTGTATATGGTTTGAGCTGGATTTTTCCGTGGATTGGTTTTTTGGTTATTTCAGTGTGTTTGGTGGTGGTGTACTGGTGTTAGGGTTGTGGTGGAGGTGTTAGGGTGGTTGTTGGGTGGTGGTAGGATGGTGATGGTGGTAGTAAGGGGCTTTAGGATTAAGGTTAGGGTTTTGGTGTAATGGTGGTTTAGGATATTGGTGTTGCATAGCAGTGTTAGTATTAGTGGTGGTGTGTGTATGGTGGTATAGTGGTGGTAGAGTTGACGGTGGTGTTAGGGTGACTTTTGGTATATTGGCTAGAAACCAATAACCATCTTAAATGTTGCCTAGCAGTGGTTGACAACTTCTAGTGTAACAATGCCACGTACGTAGGGTGGTGGTATGGTGGTGATGGTGGTTGTAAGGGGCTTTAGGATTAGGGTTAGGGTTTGGTTGTAGTGGTGGTTTAGAATATTGGTGTTGCATGGCAGTGTTAGTATTGGTGGTGGTGAGTGTATGGTGGTAGAATGGTGGTAGCGTTAATGGTGGGTTAGGGTGATTTTCAGTATATTGGTTGGAAACCAGAACCGTCTTAAATGTTGCCTAGCAGTGGTTAACAACATCTGGTGTAACAATGCCACGTACCTTAGGTGGTGGTCTGGTGGTGGCAGGGTGGTAATGGCTATTATAGGGTGGTGGCAGTTGATTTTTTGTTTATAATTGCTTGGTTGTGTTTGTTTATACAAGCAAAAACCAAATTCCTATGACTTTGAAGTTGAAGTGTTTAGTTTAGAATATGATATACTAAATGTCGATCCAGATGAGTATTGTTACATATGTTTTATTAAAGATGTGAAACGATGTGTGGCTTCGGAGAATGAGGTATCGAAATGAACCCTTATGAGAAGTTTAAGGTAGAGGTTGAGCTACCTTTATCAAGGGCTAGATACGTAGTGGAAATGGATGATGATATAGAATTCATATTTGAGCAATATAAGCGTTTTGGCAAGCAAGTGATAAGGGTTTATGTAGAAGTCATACCAATGGACTTTGTTGAACCTATAACTTTATTAGAAGCCCAACCGAAGGACAATAAAGGTTTTGTGAGGCAAGATAATAAGGAAGATGAAGAGAGTATTCCAGATGAGTTCCACTAGAGTGTTGAAAGTGATGAAAGTGATCATGAAGAAGACCATGGGAGTAGGCAGGATGGGCAGAGAAGTGGGGTGGGTGAGGGAATAGAAACTTGACAGGAAAGTGGGGTGGACATTGGGCACGGAAATGGGGTGGTAAAGGGAATTGAAATTGGGCAAAGAAGTAGTGGGGTAGAGGGAAATCAATATGGGCAAGGAAGTGGTGGGGTAGAAGACATTGAAGTTCGAGGGGAAATGTTTGAATACCATGAGTACAATTCATATGAAGGGTCTACTAATGATGAAGATGCAGTAACTAGGGTTAGCAAGCACATGAAAGGTCAACAGTTTGCATATGGGGATAATGGGAAAATCCACTTCAAAGTTGGTCAAGTGTTTGAAGAAGTTGATCACTTTAGGAAGGTGTTTCGAGATTGTGTAATTCAGAGAGGGTAGAAAGATTCACAATGAGAGAAGAAGATTTAAGGCTAAATGTAAGCAAGCAAACTGTTCATTTCATCTATATGCTGCTTTGACACCTGATGATGTGTCTTTTCAGATTAGGAAGTATAAGCATACACATACATGCACGAGGGTTTATAATAATAAGAGACAACAAGTGTTTTGGTGGTTGAAAAAATAGGAGACTTCATCAGATCCCAAAAGGGTTCATCAATTAAGCCATGAGTAGACACGTTGGGTAGGAAACACTATATGCAGTTGTCTAGATCCAAATTGTATAGGGCCAATAAGCTGGCAAATAGGAGGTCAGACAAGCTCCATGCAAAGTCATTTGCTAGTTTGTTGAAATATGATCACATTATCAAACACACCAACCTAGGTTCCATGTATAATGTGAAATCTGTTAGTCCAAAAGAGATTCCAAACTTTCAGAGGTGTTTCTTAGGCTTTGCAACACAAAAGAAGGGGCTTATAGAGGGTTGTAGACATTTTATAGGTGTGGATAGGTGCCATCTTAAAGGGCCTTATGGTGGAGTACTATTGTCAGTAGTTTCTATGGATGCTAACAGTGGCATTTTCCTTGTAGCAATTACCATTTGTGAGATAGTAAACAAGGAATTAAGATAGAAAACAAGGAATCATGGAGATACTTTATGACTTTGTTGAAGGAGTTTATAGGGGACATTGACCCTATCACTATCATGAGTTATATGCAAAATGGTTTGATGAATGCTATACAGACCTGTTGGCCAAATGCTAGTGTTAGACATTGTGCTAGGCATGTTTATGCTAACTTTAGGAAAAAATTCCTTGGGGTTGAGGAACTTGTTTTGGGTTGTTAGTAGGGCTTTCAATGTCATTGATTTTCAACAGGCCATGGAAAAGGTTAAAGCTGTAGATAGAGAAGCTCATAGGTGGATGATTAAAAATGATGTGAGTTCCTAGTCAAGGCATGCATTCAACCTTGATTCCAAATCTGATCATGTTACAAATAACATGTGTGAAGTCTTCAATAGCTGGTTAGGAGAGAATAGAAAATCACCCATACTAAGCTTGTTAAAGCATTATAGGAGGATGGTTATGGTACAGATGCAAGCTAGGGCAAAGGTCAAGAATGATTGGGTCACAACTGTTCCCCCTACTGTACATAAGAAAATCAATGGTCTAGTTGAGCCTACTAGGAATGTTGAAGCTATCTGGCCCGGGAGTGATGAGTTTGAAGTGGTGGATAACAACCGCCTTCTTAGTAAATGTTACATCTTAAACCTTTAATCTCAAACTTGTGAATTTGGAATGTGGCAACTTTCTGAAGTCTCTTGTGTGCATGCAGTCCGTTGTTTGCTTTTTAGAAACATTAGAAATATGGAGGATTTTGTGGACTCTTCATTGAGGATCACGTTATACATAAAAACATAAGTTGATCACATTCACCCCATACTTGACCCACTTAGTTGGCTTGAATTGCTTGGGGGTAGGCAGAGGTTAGGAGACCCAAAAAGGCCAAAAAAAAGGATGCTGATGAAGAACCAAGGATGACCAAAGGTGCAACACTTAGGTGTGGGATCTGTCGAACTTTGGGACATAACAAGAGGAGTTGCCCACAAAATCATTCAAACAGCAAGAATCAAAGGGTATTTTAAAGCTTTTATTTAACAAGATTAGTATTATTTTTGTAACAGAATTTGCTTGCATTAACATTTGTTTTATTTGCTTTGTTTAGAGATGAGAAGCTTCATCAGCCCCAACAAGTCAGACATGTCAACACTGAAGCAATTGTCAAGGGTAGCAGGTTAGTGTAACATCAGTCTTTCAAATTTTAACATTGTTACATTGCTTCAAACTATCGAGGGCAGCCCCTTAAATTGATTTTATGATTTTTTTCAAGTACTTAAGGAGTGTGTAGTTGAAGCATGCTGTTGTTTTTTGTGTAATAAAACTATAGAAGCATGATGTTGGTTTTTTTGGATGTGTGGAGTTGAAGCATGCTGTTGTATTTTGGTGAAAGTTGCTACTGTAGTATTTTGGTGAAATTTGGGGAAGCTGTACATAGGACTTTGTTTGTTAGTCTTAGTGTGTAAATATGGTGTGATAATATTGTACAGATAG